ATTCTTTTAGAATTGAATTTGGTAAATAATCAATGGATATCATATAGAACTACCGAAGTTGCCTGAGATTTGAGTATTTGAGGGTAGAAACGGAGGTCAATCTGCAGTCTCAGAAACAGACTAACCGCACTATTCAGTTTATGGAAGAGGGGCCAGATGTCTGCTATTGTCATAACTGACACGGTGTACCTGGAAATGGAGAGAGATAGAAAGAAAATTTTTAAAGACTTCTCGTCTTCCTTGTCTGCAACAGTCTGATTCTTGAACTTGCCCCGCTCCATATGAGGTGCCGTCGTGCTGCCTCTTGCCCGCCTTTTTATTATCTTGTGTTGAGAATCGACCGTAGAATGATGGATAGGTATTCTTACTATCAGGCATGGCTTCACCGCAAGTATGGAAAGTACAGGGAAGCTATCGAGGTTTTAGAGCTTGCTCTACAAGAAGCCGAGCAGAGAAAGGATCTCTTACCTATAACTCGGTAGGTGTAATTAATATTTTTAATGAAGAGTCCCAAATTTTGGGCTGATAGATAGTACTGCTTTTCATTTAGCAAATTCTGCTTTCCAATTGTCTTCTTCATATATGAATGGACATTTCTTACAAAGGCGTTTTTTTTTGAACGACAGCCCCAAGTGTGGGAGAGTTTTGTGACATTAGATAATTCAGTTTCATTGTTCCTATTTATCTCTTTTAATTGTTATCCATAACTACTTCAGCTCTCTAGAAATTTGCAATTGTTTATCGTAGGGATTTTCACAATTGAAGGGTGGACGAAGAAAGCAGTTGAAAAACCGCTGCTTTAGATGTAGTGCTGTTTACAATAATACGAGCATCACGATAATTTCTGTATGAAAATCTTTTAAGTGGACCTCGTTCAGTAAAATCTTTTGCTTTTATGGGACTTAGATAACAGTATAAGAGTACATCAAAAATTGTTGGCTACATAGGAACGTTGTTCTACTATTTTTCAAAATACTCATCATTTAATTTGTTCCACGATGCGCATGCTGTCGGCCGGTGACTTTAGCAATCGTGCAGCACTTTACGAGCGGTCCAATTAGCAATTTTCCCTGCTCGATGCATGCGGCGCTTTATAAAGCGACAGCGTCTCAGCCGCAACACATGGGCAAGGGGCAAATCGCTTGTTGGTTGGGTCACAGGAAGGCTGGAAAGTTCGTAATCAACAGCATTTGGACCAGTTTTATTGGTCAAACTATAAGGCGTCAGAACTGATCACGAGAATGTCAGCAAGCTTTAAGATTTGTGTTGCGCTTTGAATACATAAACAACCTTGACTTCTAAATCTCTGTCAGCTCGAGTCTGACAAATATACAGTATGTGTCCTATATTATATACGTGTCTCTTAAAGATATGGTTTCTTGTGAAATTTGAGACATTTCGAAATTGACGAACCTCGCTCATCGAAGTAGTTTGACATGGTCAGAGAACCATATAATTCTATGGCGTAGTGTT